AGGGAAAGAGAGAGAAGGCAAGTTTATTTTGGTGCCAATCAGGCATGCAGCCAGCTTAGGGGTCACCCACTTCCTGGGGCTGGGCCAGGCCGGGGCAGGGAAACACTAACAGGAAGGGGAAGGAGGACCCCCTTACCCCTTCTTGCCCCTCGTGAGCTTCCTAAAAAAAGGTAACTCCTTTGGGAAAATTACCCATCTCCCTCCCCCCCCCCCACCTCCCTCCTCCTCCATCCCATAGTCAGATTCAAGTTCTACCCCCTCCAGCCTCTTGTCCTTACAACTGGCTTCTCCTCATCAACGCACTCCCATTTGGGCTTGCCAGAGCTGGCTCATCTGTGTCTGTAGCCCGCTTCCATCTCCCCCATGGATCACCCAACACAGGCCTGGTACACAGGGAATGCTCTGTTCGTGCTTCTGGAAAACAACTGGGTTAACCCCGGTATAGCATGGTGACCGCAACTCTGATGGTCTGGATTCTGATCTGAGTTCTATGGGGGGGAGGGGGTAAATTATTTTAACTCTGAAAGCCTCAGTTTCCTCACCTGTAAAGTGACTAGAATATATACTCTATAGGATTATTGTGAATATGAAGTGAGAAAACACAGGTAAAGTGCCCAGCATGGTGGCCAGCATATATGGGCTTTAGCTATCACCCAGCAAGTGCTGCTGCCGCTGATAAATTATGCCCTGCCTCAGGCCTGGGGTAGCAGCAATTATACAGAGCTGAGTTCCAAGCCTGGCTCTACCACATAGGACCCGGGGGAACTCAGACAAGCCACATAAGCTCTCAGAGCATTGGCTCATATGTAAAATGGGGATTCACAATATGACACCATAAATTTACTGTAATGATTTGAGCCTGTCAAGGGGAGCCCAGCTCTCAGAAGTGGCTCCATGCATTGCAGCAGCGATTACTAAGGATAGCAGGAGGAGCGCAGACCTGTGGGGCCAAAGAAGCCCAGGAGCGAGGAAGCAGTCAGGGTGGACTCGGGCAGCCAGGGAAGGCACCCCAGAGTGCACAGGGCTGGAGTTGGACCCACCAGAGCCAGAGAGCATTCAGCAGGCGGTAAGTGACAAGGTTCCAGGAAAAGGAAGTGGTGGGAACAGAGAGCTGGGCAGGGCAGGCAACCAGGCTGCGCTGAACAGAAGGCAGCACGCAAGGGAAGATTTGGAAGCAGCTGGGGCAGCTCTGGGGACTGGCAGTGTCTGGACATGTGGATGGGGGAGCCACGGAAGGTCTGTGAGGTCTCAGCTACCCCAGATTGCCAGGAGGTCAAAACAAGAAAGAATCTTAGAGATTACCTAATCCAAACTCCCGTTGGACAGATGGGGGCACTGAGGCCCAGAGTGGGAGGCCTCCTCTGGGAACAGAGCCAGCGTTGGCTCCTCCTCCCACTTCTCCTCCCGACAGCAGCGGCTCCTGTTGCCATGGGGACGTCCCTGGCTCTGCGGGTGTCAGCAGCTCCCCCACCTCCTCCCTCCTTCCCTAGCAACAGGCCACCTCCTCTGGCTCTCATCTTTGCGTGCCTGTCAACCCCGGCCTGGTCCCCAGGGCCCCCAAGTTCCAGCCAGACCCTCACTGCAGCGGTAGCACCTCTAGGCCTGGGCTCCCTCCTCTTCTGGTGGCGGAGGTATCAGCCCCTCCTGCCCCTCTGTCTTCAAGTTCTGCACCTCTCCACATATCTCAAGCTTGACTGCCCCATAAATGACAATGCATTGGGTTAGGGGATGGCGGAGGGCACTACAATATGTTGAGCCACCATTTTATGCTGAGCATTGCTTTAAGTTCTCTCATCAACCCAAAGAAGTCAGAATTATTGACCTCATTTTACAGATGAGGAAAGTAAGGATCAGAGAAGCCAAGTGACTTTGCAAACAACACACAGCTAGGAAGCAGGCTCTGCTGAGAGCTAGTTTGTGACCTTGAGCCATCGCCAGTCCCTTTCTGGACCTGGATTTAAGGCGCCTGTAGGTCTGACAACTTCTCATGGATCTACAGGAAGTCCAGGCACCTTCCTCTGCCCACAGCCCTTTAGCAACACCAGCTGTTCAGCTCTAATTAGACTCCACACTTCCTCTGGCACCCCATACCTGGAAGCCCTCATGCCTGGGCCCTGCTACGGGGGGTTTTCAATCCACCGACCCTGCTCATTCCTTCCCATTCCACTTCCACAGCAGCCGAAGTCTAGCTCCTTTCCTTCGTGTTCCTTCTACCCTCCTAAACTTTCCCCTCCACACACACAATGTTTATTAGATGACAACCCTGGGGCTCCAGGGGGGAAAAAGATCTGTTCAAAGTCACATAACTAGAAAGCGACCTGGCCATAAATGGAACCCTTTGCCCAGATCCAGTTGCTGCCCTTTCTGTGCTACAGAGCCCCACCTCTCTCCTCCAGCCTCCCCCGGCTCCCACTGATGACAGAAGGTATCTGTGACCCAGTCCCGACCAGACCAGTTCTGAACTTTAACACTTGCTCCTTTCCTGCCCAGATCTGTTTTAGCCCAACTGACTGCCCCCACCCAGCCCCCCTCACCTCCGATGCCTGCTGGTTTCATTTACAGGGATGCCCTCCTTACACAGTCTGCGTGTCAGTCCTCCATGACCCAGCTCAGACACCACCTTCTCCAGGAAGCTCTCCCTGACCCCTAACTGAAGTGAGCTCAAGAATTCACATGCGGGTCCTGAGAGCATCCTCAGATGACCCCACCCAGCTCTGGTTCCAAGTTAAAGGACCTTCCCACCATATTTGCAAGATTTTGCCCCACAAGTGCTATTTTAGGCCCCTTCCACAGTCCAAGTTTGACCCTTGCTTCCACAGTTGCTGAGTCTGCAAGGTCCCTGTAGCCTCCTTGACTGTAGGTCCAGGGTGGATGTCGGGAAGTACATCTCAGTAAAACAAATACCAGCTTTGGCAGCAGACAGCCCAGGGTATGAGTCAGAGTGATGCCACCCTGCCCCATTTCTCTTATTTCCTTGGGCAAGGCACTGACCCTCTGTGGGACCTCATTTTCCTCATGTGTAAATCAGAGATCCCAATCCATGCCTAATAGGGCTGTTGTGAGCATTAAATAAGATCATATTCAGAGTTCTTAGTATGTGAGGAGCAAATGATAACTGCTATGATTACTAATATTAGGATGAGGATGAGGATGATGATTATTATCTGCAAGGCTGTCGAAAGCTCCTGCAGGGATGGCGTGGGCAGGGCTCTGGGCTTGGTGCCAGGCAGACCTGGGTTTGAATCCTGGCTCAGCCATAAATAAGTTGCATGGCTGTGGGCAAAACCCATAACCAGCCTGAGCCTCAGTTTCTTCAACTGTAAAATAATGATGATAAGGGCAGCCCAGGTTCCACCTACAGTGTCACTGGGAGGATCAAACAAAAGAAAGTCCCTGACAACTTCTGTAAGTTGTAAAGGCCCAACGTACATCATCATATGATTTATGATCATAATAACTATTAAAACCCTGAGCTATAGGTCCTAGGACCTCCCCTGTCGGGAAGAGCTAGAGACGCCTTCAGTCGCATTCCTTGACAAGTCGCAGGCATATCAACGGGGATGCCTGGGGGCCTGTGCTCAGAGTCAGCCCAAGCTGTCTTTCTCCAAACCCACAGTGGGGCACTGGGATCAGTGTCCTTTGCTAGACCAGTGCCTTCCTAAATGCTAGGACAGGCTGTTCCCAGGCCATACTCCTTGGCTGCATGCCAGGACTAATTGCATCTCATCATATACCCCTTGCCTGGACACTAGGCCTGACTGTATCTACCACACTTCCCCTGCTTTCCTGCTGGCCGAAGTGTGCTCCCATCCCACAGCCCCTACCTTGGCCCAGGGCACCAGTGTGCTCATCCCATCCCCCCTGCCTGGGATGCAAGGACACAGCATGTCTCATTATGCACCTCCGTCTGGATGCTGGGATCCTCTGCCCCCCTCCCATATCCACTGCCTGGATGCCAGGACCTGGGCTGCTGCATATGGTTGGACAAGCAGTGCCTTGCACAAGGGTTCACAGCCAAGAGGGCATGAGTCGCGGCTGAAGTTCAACCTGTGCTCTACTCACTGAGCCGGGAACCCTGGTGAGGGGCTGCAGGAGCCCTGTGGAAAGGGAACATTCCTCCAACTGATCCACGCAGTGGGTTCTACTCTTCACATAGGTGTTATATATGTTAGTTGCAGCCCTGGCTGGAACCGAGTGAGCCCATCTCATGCCTCTGCTGCCTGGACCCATCTCATTTCAGAGGCCAACTGCATCACCCCTGGCCTGGATGCTCTCTGACTGGGCCCTACCCTGAGCCCCGCATCATTCCCACATAGTCCCTATCCTTGACACTTGTGTTTTCACGAAGCTTCTGTTGGGTTAAGGCCTGGGAAATGCACTAATAGTCCTTGTCCCTAACCCCAGTTTTACCCCCAAATGGCAGATTGATCACACCCTGAAAACTTACTGATTGATGCTTGTAAACCTTTTTCACCAAGCATGCAAAAAAAAAGGGGGGGGCACTTGTTACACTTAAATATAAGGTATATTTAAGTGTAACATTACCTTAAATATAAGGTATATTTCTAATGACTGGAATGTGTCACATCAAAAGTCCATCCAAACCACACTACTCAGGGCTAGTGCAGGTCAGGGTGGAGCACAAACGCCAGACCAGGGAAGCCCCGTTTCTATCGTGTCCCCTTCTCCCGGGAAGGGAGGGGGAGAAGGTCCCGGGTCCAGAGCTGACCTCTCTGCAGGTCAGCTTTCCCATCTAGGTAGCTTCCATGAGCCCCTCCAGTGTTCAGCCGAGCCCCCAAATCAGCTAGGGTCAGAAAGACTAAGGAAGAGTTTTCAACCCCCTCCCTATGCTTGCCTCCTCCCCACCCCTAATACCAGTGGGACAAAACCCCTGGAGTTGGCCCCCGCCCCTCCCATGGATCCCGAAGTGACAAGCCAGAGGCCCCCACCCCAGTCCCTGCCCCAACTCCCAAGCACTACTAAAGAAAGGAGGTACTGACCTGACTGTTCTGGAATTCTCACCATCAGATCTGAAAGAGAAACAGAGAAAAAACCCGACAGTCAGCATATGCCCTCTACTCCTCTCCTCCCTCTGCCCAGCCCTGACACCTAGCACGCATCGTGAAAATGAAGGGTAGGGCATTTCGTGCAGAGAGAATGGCCAGTGCATAGGCCATGATGTGGCGGAGGGCCTGGCCAGTTGTTGGGACACGGAGGAGGACAGTGTGGCCGGGGTGGAATAAGTGAGGGGAAGAATGGTTGGAGGTGAGGTCGAGGAGGTGCCAGGAACCAACCATGTTCTAGCCTAGTGGGTCATGGTGAAGAGCCTTCCTCGGAGTGGCTGAGAGGCAGCCTGCAGCGGTGGCCAGGGGCAGAGCCCGAGGTTTAAACACAGAGAGACCAAGCCTCAGATACTGGCTCTGCCACTTACCAGCCCTGTGACCTGGGCAAATCACCTCCCTGCTTGGAATCTGAGCCTCAGTCTCCTCACTTGTAACACGAGGCCAATCCTTGCAGGGCTGTTGGGATGATTAAGCCCTTTGCAGCCCAGCAGACAAATGCCAGGTATTATTAACAACATAGAAAAGGCTTTGCCAATTGCCTGGTCCAACCTGCTTATTTTCTGGATGACAAGAATGAGGCTGAGAGGGGTGAGTGAGTCAGCTGCTGGGCTCCTTTCTACTACATTGGTCTGCCTTCTTCATTGTGAGGCCCCCTCAGAGGCAAAGGAAGGGCAAGAGAAGAGAGTGGCACTGGGGACAGCTTTGAGGGGACTGAGAGAATGAGTGAAACCCGACCCACACCCACTCCGGCTGTTCCTCCCTAAAAGAATATATATGTGTGTGTGTGTGTGTGTGTGTGTGTGTGTGTGTGTGTGTGTGTGTGTGTGTGTGTGTGTGTGTGTGTGTGTGTGTGTAGGGAGGAACAGTGGAACTGTCCTTGGGGGTGGGGAAAGGGAGGAAGAAGGACCAGGGCACTTGGAAGAAGCGGGGAGAGTGTGTGAAGTGGCTTCCCTGTCCCCTCTGTCCTCTTCTTCCTCCTTTTCTCCCCTCCCTCCCCGACCCCCACTCCCACTCCCACTGCAGACGTCGGAGGAGACAGAGATGAACACATCACAGGCTCTGTCCTCAGGTGAGAGAACCAAGAAGGGACCTTAGTGAGGGGACCTGAGTGGGGGGAGAGTCGTCTATGCTGATTGCAAAGTGAGAGGGACACACGGGGAGGGGAAAGTGAGTATTTGTTGGAAGAGTGAATGGAGCACCCACCGGCCAGGTGGGGCAGGCAAGCATCTGGGTGCAGGAGCGCAGGCAGTGGGTGAGGCCAGTGCTTCCAGTTCTGCTGCTTACTAGCCATATACTCCTAGGGAAGGCACTCCCCGATGTCCAGCCTCAGCTTTCTCACTTGTAAAATGACATGACAGGGGAGGGGAGGGGGGCAGGAGGGTGGGGTGGCTGTGAGGTTCAGCCTGGCACAGTGGACAACAGTGGGTCCAATCGTTAGCCTTTGCAGCCCCCTAAAGGGACAGAGGAGCAGGGCCACAGAGCACCTTTTCACATTTATTAAAACTTTCCATCTCACTCTGCAGCAACAAGATTTCTTCTCAGGCCTGGCTCAATTATTCGCAGGTACCAGATCAGGTGGGCTTAATTCAATGACTCCCCAACTGTCAACAGAATGGAAGTTAAGCCCCTCAGCCTTTCTCCCTAACACAAACCCTCTGCTCCAGGCAGGCTGGTCTCCTCGCCACCCCACCCCAAAACCCCCAGCACACACGTATTCAAACTACTATATACCAGGCCCCGACTCAGGAATATAAACCCTCACGTTGCTCACAGACTGGCCCCTTGCCTCAATCTATTATACTTCAGAGCATAAGCCACATATATAATCGTCTCCATTGGCATGTGAACAATCACCGGGCACCTACTATGTACCAGGCAGGGTGGCAGGCTCTTTTGGTACATGACCTCCTTTGATCCTGCAAAGTGGGAATTACTCATGCAATTTTAAGATGATGAAACTGAGACTCAGAGAAGTTGAAATGATTTGCCCCACGGCTCACAAGTAGGGGCAAAGCTTGGCCTGGACCCCACAGCTCGTGCTCTTACCACCACGCTCCACTGCACCAGCAGCTCAGTGCTGGGCACTTACGCATCGTTAAGGTGAGTTCCCTTATCCTCGTCCCCCAAAGTCAGGACAGGCACTTCCTGACAGGCTCTTTCTTAGGAGAGATTACCAGATATGTACTTCTGCTCCAAAAGCACTTCTGTATGATGTTACAGTCCTCAAGATGGCAGCTACGGGGAGCAAAAGAGCTCCACGCCATGAGGCAGAGTGAATTAGCCAGCTCTCCTCACTGTGGACTGATTCTTACTAGTTCGAGGGTATACGGCATCTTATGACCCTCAATGCGGGGGTGCATGCCACCTCAGGGGTTTACAGGCTCTTATGCGTTTAGTATACAAATTGTTATTTACATCTAGATAACCATCATCATTAACACTGTGCTATCCTACACCTCTTCAGGACTAATGCCCAGCCCAATGGTCAATCCACCCCTTACTCCATGAAGCTGGACCACCATTCTTTTGTGAAGTAGCACAGACGTAGAAAGAATGCTGGGCTCTATTATGGCTCATTCCCTAACTGGCAGCATAGAATTGGAGAAATCACTGCTCTCTGGACCTTGGTTCGTCATCTATAAAACAAGGGGGCTGTGTTAGTTGAGTTCCAATCTTCAGGCCCTAAGATACTTAGTTTCTTCAGAATCCCAAAGTTTCTCTCTTTTATCAATTGGGTTCAGCTACCTATGGGTAGAAACAAAGACCCAGGGTACCAGACCTCCCTTTATCAATCCATGTCAGGAAAGGAGATGGATTTCTCCTGCTACTCCTATGGCTTTCTCCCAATGGAAGGCCACTTCAGACCCCAGGGTTCTCAAAAGGCTTGTCTAAGCCAATTCCCATCCTCAAGAGTAATGCTCAATAAACAGTAACTGATTGAAGCCTATGAGTATAGTGACCATATTTTCTGAACCAAAAACGCAGGCATGTAATGAGACCAAGGATTCTGACGTTGCTGCTTCCAGGTACAAGGGGCAATCTGGCAGATGGGAGAATAAATGGCAAAATATCAACAGTTCTTGAACCTTTGGGGGACTTATGGCGACAACAGGGCAGAATAACTCAAAAGAATATAAGCCTTTGAGTTGCCATACTGGGGTTTCTGCTCTCACCTCCTGACTGGATTCCCTGCCTCTCATTTTGACCCTCCAAGCTATCTATAAACAGTGCCTGGGAACACAATAAGGTGCCTCTCTCCCAAGAACCTGGAATTGGATAAATAAGGTTGTCCTCTGAGACCTAAACTAAGCAACAAAAAATGCATCAGAAACGAGATATGCAAAGTTACGTGAGAAAGAGAGACTGTTTCTCAAGCCAGCATTTGAGCAACATGTCTACAAAATCAGGTGTCCAACAGAAAGGTGATTGGACACGAACAGAAGTACATTTTTTAAAGGAGACTTGAAGAGCTGCTGTGTACAGGGCTCCTCCTAGAAGTGTCCTGAGGAGAAAGAGGTGGGTACCCTGGCCCAGGGATCATACAAGTCTCTCTAAAAGCTGAGAACCAGCCCTGGGGCAGCCAGGCAACTGATCTCCCAAACATCAACTTGTCTAACTGCAAGTCTCTTCAATGGGCAACCACCTTCTCTCACTGGCTGCTAAAGGAACATCTCTCAAGCACAAATCAGTTGATGTGGTTCTGCTGCTTCAAACATTCAATAATTTTCTCACCGATAGTTTTCCCACAGACAATTTTCCCACAAACATCCGTGCCAGTCGAGCCCAAACTCTCCAAAGCTCTAAATCTTACTCCGCCCTCCCATCTACTTTCTTAGAACATTTGGTATTTGTTCCCTGGAACACTCTTGCTCCCCTTTATGTTTTTAAAAATTATTTTAAATTTTATTAAAGTGACATGTAAACTAGTTTAAAAAGTCAAATTCTGAAAGGATCTTAAAAATAAAAGTTTCCTTTTCAACTCTCTTAGTTACCTTTTCCTGAGTTTACTTTCATATTTCTAAAGTATACGCTTATATTGCTAATCCATTTTTGGCATTTTTGTGTGTGTGTGCCCTTTCAATATTTTTTTTAACCAAAGTAATACATGCATATAGATTTTCAAGTCACATAGTACTGCAAGGATTAAAACAAAACAAAACACACAAATTCCCCACTCTACCCCTCCTCACCCCCAACTCCTACTCTCAGAGACAAACTGTTTTCAAGTCTTTTAACTACTTTTTCGGGTATTTACCTCCTCATTTCTAAGGAACACATGCGTACTTCTATTTCTTGATTTACTTTTTTCAGTTCTGTATATCATGTACTGAATTCCTACCGTGCAGAGAGAGGGTGGGGCTCCCTAACACACACAACCACCTCTAGCCCCCAGTTCTTATGTGGGTGCACCGTCCTTCCTTCCCATTCTACCACTGTAGTTATAGCACAAAGTTTTGGTTAAATCAATATTGGTGGCTTACATTATTATGACTGCATTGATATTAATAATGAGTAAATCATTTGCTATAATTACATTTTCCTTCCCATACAACTTTTTCTTTTCCCTGGTGTTGATGACTATTCTTTTTTTTTTTTTTTTTTGCTTGCTTAGTTTTTTTCATGTATATGATCAATTCTCCCCAAACTCTGTGAGTAGTGCATTTCTCTTCTCAATGTGTTCTGACACATCAGGTAATCCATCAGATTTTTTTTTTTTTCCTTTGAGACATCATTCTCGCTGCAATCCAGACTGGTTGCTCTCCAGGCCTGCACAAGGTTGCCCATAGATCTGCTCCCTTCTCCATCACTCTGGGATTCCCTTCGCCTGTCTTCTGTGTTAATTTCCTGTTTCCTGGATTCCTTGGCCTTTTTTCTGAGTTTATGCCTGCATTTTGCTGGAGCACATTCTCCAGTGCTTCCTGAGAAAGGAGGCCTAGGACATAAAATCTTTAGCTCTCCTTTGTCTG